TGTATAAACAATGCACATCCTTCCACTTAGTTAAATCATCTCCAGATTAGTTCCAAATCCCAGTAAATTACATGTCAATAGTTGTTATCCTATAGCATTTAGAAGGCTATAGAGAGAAACATGTGGAACTGGAGAGATGGCTCAGTGTTTAAGAGCACTGGCTGCTCTTGCACAAGACCCAGGTTCAGTTCCCAGCATGCACATGGCAGCTAACAACCATCTGTAACTCCAGTTCCATAGGACCTGACACCCTCTTCTGACCTCTATGGGCATTACATGACATAGGTGCACTTACATTCATGCAGATAATATACCCATACACATAAAATAAAATAAAAATAATAAAATATTTTTTAAAAAGAAAGAAACATGCAGACTATTGTTTACACTTTTTTTTTTTTTTCCTTTTCTCTCTGTTAGTTTAAGATAAACATTTAGATGTAGAGCTTCTGGAGCATGGAGTTTCTCCATCTCAAGGACGCTAGAAAATGTCACATTTCTCCCCTATATTTTGTTACTAATGCAGTCCCATAATAACAATGGCAAACATTTACTTCCATTCTCCAGATTTTTGTGGTGTTTGGTATTGCCAGTTCTCTCCATGTTTTCAATTTATATTGAGTAGTTTTTTAAAAAATGTTTGAAGCATCCATTTCTGGATTTCATAAAGAGAGAATAAGATCCACATATCCCCATTGGGGACACAGGTTTGGGAACTTGATTCTTCACAAGCCACTAACTTCTGTCCACTCAGAGCCTCAGAAACAAGAGACAGTTACATCAAAGATCTGCAGTCTCCTTCTCACTGTTAGAAAGTATATCCAGAGTCTCTGCAACACCCAGTTCAATTCCAACTCCTCTCTTTCAGCCATATTTGAGTACATTAGCCCCTCATTAACCTCAAATATCTGAGTCATTCTTTTTATTTTTCTTTTTTTTTTTTTCTTTCTGGTCTTTTTGAGACAAGGTCTCCTTGTAACCCCAGCTGGCCCAGAACTCGCTATGTAGACCAGGCTGGCCTTGAATAGAGATTCACCTGCCTCTGCCTCCGGAGTGCTGAGACTAAAGGCATTTGCCACCACAAGATTCATCTTCTGTCGGCCACCTTACTAATCTCATTACTCAGTTTTGGTTGAGTTTAGGCTTAAAGCTGTCCCTCTTTGATCTGACACCTAGAAATTTCCATGTTTTTCCTGCATCTAAATGTTTTTAAGTTTATTTGTTGTGTTTATCTAGCACATCTATATGTTCAAAATAGTAGAAATTGGAAAAGTGGTATCCCTCTCAACTTAGTATAGCACTTAGAAACTCTGTTACTTAAAATTCATGAACGAAAAAAATTAGACTCAGGGCTTTATAATGAAGTATTTCTTTAAAATGTCTCTATGCTTCAGTGAGATATTTGTTTCATGAAAATCACAAAATAAGGTGAGATGCCTCAGCTGATGAAGGCACTTGCTGCCAAACCTGACAACCTAAGTTTAATCCCTAGGACTTACGTGTTGAATGGAGAGGACTGACTCCCACAAGTTGTCTTCTGTGCTGTGGAACACAAATACACACATTCACAAGCACACATACACAGTAAATAAATGTGACACAATTTTTCTAGTAAAAGATTTTAACATGATGTAAATTTTTATGCTTCCTCCTCAAATATAACTCATTTTTTTAATTCGTTGATTTTTTTGTGTGTGAGATGCATGTGCCAACATCTAAGTGTTATTAGCAAAAACAATGAGTCTTTCTGTAAGAAACAGTATATTTTAAAATGAAACAGAAATTTTTTTTAAAGGTTAAAAACTCATTCAATTTTATGTCCTACAGGGTATATACTGAGTTCAGTCTTGTATGACTGTATTAATTCAACTGTGAACCTAAAAATTTACAGCCAATTTTGAAAGAGATGCATCTTAGCTCTGGAAATTGTTATTGAATA